CTCCGAGCCTCTGCCCTGCTGATCGCACCCCGGAAGGGCTCCAAGCCTCTGCCCTGCTGAGTGCACCCTGGGAAAGGCTCCGAGCCTGAGCGCACCCCGGGAAGGGCTCCGAGCCTCTGCCCTGCTGATCGCACCCCGGGAAGGGCTCCGAGCCTCTGCCCTGCTAAGCGCACCCCCGGGAGGGCTCCAGCTTGGCCCCCAGCATGGCTACCCCCTGCAAGGAAGGAGGCTGTGGTGTTTCTGAGCACGGGCGTGGCTTGCCACAGTAAACGCGCCAGTGCCCCGAGGTGTGGAGACTGCGGGAGGCGATTCCATATTTTCATGGGGGCTCGTTATATTTGCTCCCAAGCCAGAAAAGCCGGAGCCTATTACTGCTCTCTTGGTAGGATTTTTTTTTTAATCCTGGTGTTACAAGAACACGAATTAAGCTCTGATGAAGGCGATATTGATTCATTACATGAAGATGCACGTGGGGGGGGAGGGGGGCGGGGGGGGGGGGGGGGGGGGGGGCGGGGGGCGCTGAGCTGCAGACGCGCTCGTGGTTTCCGGGCCGTGGAGGCGCGCGGTGGGCTCCGCCAGGGAGGTTTACCTGCCGGCAGCAGATGTGGCTTCTGCAAGCTTTAAAGCCTCTGGCACCGTTACAGACGAGGAGAGTGGGGGGCCTGGGCACTGCCGCAGCCGAGAGGGAGGAGGGGAAGGAGCACCCGGCGCAGGCCGCCATCTCCCCCAGCTGCAGGGAGGGCATTCGAAGCCGGTTCACACGTTCCGAAATGGCCGCTCTCAGCGCGAGCCTGGGAAGGTCGCACAAGGCCTCGTGCGGCTCAGACGGAGCCTCGGGGTTACAAGAAGGGTCCTTGACTGCTGAAGGCAGATCATCCTCCTCCAAAGTATTTGGCGGAAACCACCTCAAACTCCCTCTCCTGCTCCGAGTCCCAGGGGGAGGGGCTGCTGCCACGGAAAGCTGGCAAAACAAAAATGACCAGGAGAAATGCGAGGTGGAACTTGAAAATCAAGAGAGGGAGCCTATAGCCTGAGCTTTAAACGGCACAGGTGGCTCTTGGGTGCTGCTGCGCCCCCCTCACTTCCAGCCCCAGATACGTCGCACCTCTCCCTCTGGGGCTGGAGACCGGTCCCCAGGATCCTGGGCAGATTCTTGGGTCCCACCAGGCAGGGTCTGGTTCAAATGAGAAGATGACTGGCAGGTACAGTGACACGAGCCAGGGGTCATCCGGAGATCCCTGAAGGCATGAGGTGTAAGTCCCGGCCGCAGGGAATTAGGTCCATGTGAAGGCAGGACCCAGCCTGGAAGGCCAGGGAGCAAAAAGGCCACAACACATGAGGTTTGGGAAAGGGGGTCTGAGCAACTAGAGCTGGAAGCCAGCAGCAAGAGTGGCTTTTGATATCGCTCGGGCACTCAGGAACTCTGGCTCTAAAGCCACAACCGTCACTTAGTGAGACAGGTACGAGGCTGCAGGTAGAAGCCACGGAGTCGCCAGGCTAGGAGAGGGGAGTGGGAGGGAGGAGCAGCGGGAGGAGGCTCCCATCATGCCCCCTCCTCCTCTTCATGAAGAGCCATGTTCTTTCCTCTCTGTGATGTGAACATTGGTCAGAACGCCAGAGTCTAACATCATGCTCCCTGCTTGGCTGTAAGGTGGTGTTTGTTTATTAGGGATTCTTTCTGCCAGATCTAGAACATCTCAAAGTACCAGGCACAAAATGTCAGACATTTCACAAATGCTGTGATGGTTAATTTTATGTGTCAACCGGATTGGGCCACAGGGAGCCCAGATACTTGGTCAAACATTATTCACAGTGTTTCTGTGAGGGTGTTTTGGATGAGATTAACATTTATTTATTTATTTATTTATTTGAGACAGGGTCTCCCTCTGTCACCCAGGCTGGAGTGCAGAGGTGCGATCGTGGTTCACTGCAGCCACGACTTCCTAGGCTCAAGCGATCCTCCTGCCTCAGTCTCCTGAGTAACTGGAATTATAAAGTGTGTGCTGCCATGCCCGGCTATTTGTGTGTGTGTGTGTGTGTGTGTTTTTAGAAGAGACGGGGTTTCACTATGTTGGCCAGGCTGGTTTGGAACTCCTGACCTCAAGTGATCATCCCACCTCGGCCTCCCAAAGTGCTGAGATTATAGACATGAGCCACCATGATTGGCCAGACTAGCCGAGATTCACATTTAAATCAGTAGACTGAGTAAAGCAGTTTGTTCGACCTAATGTGGTGGCGGGGGACGGGGGTGGGGGGGTGTCTCATCCAATCAGCTGAAGGCCTGCACAGAACAAAAGGCTGACCCTCCTCCAAGCAAGAATGAATTTCTCCTGCCTGATGGTCTTCAAGCTGGGACAACAACTTTGCCCTGCCTTCGGACTTGAACTGACATTGGCTCTCCTGTGCCCCGAGACTGCCAGCTTTCAGACTGGAACTTACACTGTAGGCTGTCCTGGTTCTCAGGCCTTTGGATCCAGACTGGAATTCCACCATCGGCTCTCCTTGCTCGCCAGCCTGCCCGCTGCAGATCATGGGACTTTCCAATCTCCATAATCACATGAGCCAATTTATAATAATAGGTCTCTTTATATAAACAGGAGAGGCAGAGATAGAGACATAGGGGAGAACCCTGGCTAATGCAAATGCTCACCGATGATTTCCCGTGCTTCCTCTGGGCTGGGGACATAACTAAATTCAGGATGGGTTTAGACCTAAAGTAGATTCTGGCCAGGCACGATGGCTCAACGCCTGTCATCCCAGCTTGGGAGGCCAAGGCGGGTGGACCACCTGCGGTCAGGAGTTCAAGACCAGCCTGGCCAACATGGCGGAACCCTATCTCTACTAAAAATACAAAAATTAGCCAGGCGCGGTGGCGTGTGCCTGTAATCCCAGCTACTTGGGAGGCTGAGACAGGAGAATTGCTTGAACCCAGGAGGTGGAGGTTGCCGTGAGCTGAGATTGTGCCACTGCACTGCCACCTGGGTGACAAAGCAAGACTCCATCTCAAAACAACAACAACAACAACAGAAATTTAAAAAAATAAAAATAAAATGAAGTAGATCCTTTGTTATCTCCAAATACCAGAAGACCATTTTTCTACATATCTATGCTAGATACTCTCTGTGGCATTCAGCATCCATTCCCACCACCTTGTGGCATGGAAGCTTGAAGGCTAAATCCTGCATTTCCAGACCGCCTTGATTTTATAGGATACCAGCTGTAAACGAAAAAGTATCTGAGATAAGTCTCAATCAATCTAGAAAGTTTGTTTTGCTGGGGTGAAGGACGCACCCGTGACACAGCCTCAGGAGGTCCTGACATGTGCCCAAGGTAGTCGGTGCTTAGCTTGGTTTTATGCATTTTAAGGACACATGAGACATCAATATATGTAAGCTGTGCATTGGTTCGGTCCGGAAAGGCAGGATAAAAAGAAATGTCCGTTGTTTTTATTATGTGCTGAATGCAGCAATAGGTAATAATTACACAGATAGATGGATAGAAAGATTTTACACTTACGTCCTAAGCTATAATATGCCATCTCTTCAAACATCAGTGGAACAGTTGCAAAACTGATTATACATTGAATCACAGCATTTTTATTTCCAACCACTTTATTTTCTATCTGCACATAGGTAAAATTGGATAAATGTCTAGACCCAGGTCAAAAAATGAAAATTACTGAGCAGAACCTGAGATGTAGGTCTTAGGGTCTGTCTAAAAGTCAGAATCATAACATCTGCCTCTAATATCTGATAGTGGTTGTATAGATTTTTCCTTCATTAAACATATCTATTTTTAAGAGGATATGCTTGACTTTCTATTACTGCTGAGATGGCCTAAATACTTGGAACACATAAAATCCTTTAACGCTTTCCATTCTTGCTGCATTTGGATTTTCCAGACAGGGAACAAGTACACAAATAAGAGATTATTATATTTGCCTTAGTCAGACACTGGCAACGTGGAAGAGGCTGTCTTTGCTTACTGAAGCAAGGAATATGTATTTAAAGATATATGGTACCCAGGCACCAAGCTCTTTCTGGAAAGAGAGGCAAGTATGCCCTGTTCCTATGGTCCAGAAACACTAAACAGAGTCAAGCTTTTAGCAGTAAATGTTATTTGGCTGTATGAATTTTTGACAATTCAATACCCTTTACATGTGTGTTACTGGCCTTGTGATATGGTTTGCCGTGTCTCCACCCAATTCTCATCTTGAATTGTAGCTCTCACAATCCCTAGATGTTGTGAGATGGACCCAGTGAGAGGGAATTGAATCATGGGGGTGGGATTTCCCTGTGATGTTCTCGTGATAGTGAATAAGTCTCAGGAGATCTGATGGTTTTATAAAGGGCAGTTCCCCTGCACACACTCTCTTGCTTGCCGCCATGTAAGATGTGCCTTTTCTCCTCCTTCACCTTCTGCCATGACTGTGAGGCCACCCCAGCCATGCGGAACGTGAGTTCATTAAACCTCTTTGTCTTTATAAATCACCCAATGTTGGGTATTTCTTCATAGCAGTATGAAAATGGACTAATACACCTCGATGTTAAAAAGCTTATATGTAATGATTTTTTTAAATCCTCTCACCAATAGAGGACATTTTGAGGCCGTCAGAATAAACCAAATCAACACATCTGTCAATCCCAGAACAGCCTGTTTTCTATTTGTTCTATAAAGCAGAGAGAACACAGTCTGCATTTCCTAACCACGGTTGTTTAAAATATGAGAAACAGAAATTAATGGTCAAGTTTTAACAAAGCCTAAACACTCAATGGTTTGGAAAATTTAAAGCCATCTTTGAATAATGATTAGGTCAACAAAGAAATCAAAACCTGTTGTGGATTACAGAAAAAATAATAGGACACAGTCACAGCTGAATTTAGAAATGAATTCAAAGCTTCAAATATTCTAATAAAGGAAAATAAATAACAAGAATGTATGTTAGCTATAGGTTTAAAAATAAAGCAAGATAGCAGAAATAAGTTCTAACATCAATCTCAATACTCACAAATAATGTGCATGGATTAAAATTCTCTGTGAAAAGATAGAGACATTCAGATTCTTTTTTCTTCTTTTACTAATTAGATTTTATCGAGGCAAAAATTTACCTGCAGTGAAATACACAGATCTTTTTTTTTTTTTTTTTTTTTTTTTTTTTTAAATACACAGATCTTAAGTGTAAAATTCAATGGGTTGGTAAATGTGTGAATGCATGCTACCAGAAATCCAATAGCCTATTTACACCATCACAGGCAGTTCACATTGAATCTCCACCTCCCCATAGGCAACTAGAGTTCTGGTTTTCATCACTATGGATTAATTTTATCTCTTTATTTATTTATTTATTTGAGACAAAGTCTTTGCTCTGTCGCCCAGGCGGGAATGCAATGGCACAATCTCAGCTCACTGCAATCTCTGTCTCCTGGGTTCAAGCAATTCTCCTGCCTCAGCCTCCTAAGTAGCTGGGATTACAGACACGCGCCACTACACCCAGCTAATTTTTGTATTTTTAGCAGAGACGGAGTTTCACCATGTTGGCCAGGCTGGTTTTGAACTCCTGACCTCAAGTGATCCATCTGCCTCGGCCTCTGAAAGTGCTGGGATTACAGATGTGAGCCACCACACCCGGCCGGTTTGGCCTCTTCTTGAATTCCATTCTTTTTTTTTTTTTTTTTTTGAGATGCAGTCTCCCTCTGTTGCCGGGCTGGAGTGCAGTGGCACGATCTTGGCTCACTGCAACCTCCACCTCCCGGGTTCTTGCAAATCTCTTGCCTCAGCCTCCCAAGTAGCTGAGACTACAGGCACATGCAACCATGCCCAGCTCATTTTTTTTTTTTTTGTATTTTTAGTAGAGACGAGGTTTCACCATGTTGGCCAGGATGGTCTCAATCTCCTGACCTCGTGATCTGCCAGCCTCAGCCTCCCCAAGTGCTGGGATTACAGGTGTGAGCCACCGCACATGGCCTGCAATGGGCTTTTCTGTTCAGCATAACATTTTTAAGAATGAAGTGTGTTGTTACATGTACCAGTAGTTCATTTTTAATCACTAAGTCAAATTCCACTGTATACATATGTCAAAATTCTTCTATCGATGAACATCTGGGTGGTTTCCAGTTTGTCTTTATTTTAAATCCAGCTTTCATTAGCAAAAGCATTCTAGCACAAGTCTCTCTGTGTGCTTTGTGGACCGTTCCTTCCCATGCTTTGCCTCTGTCACCTCTTTCTATCCATTGTAGCCTGGCTTCCAAATCTCTAATTCTCACAGCTCGGTCTGAGTTAGGTGCCACCCCTTGACTTCCATCACCCAATATGCCAACTCCATCATCACACTTAAGATCCTGAATGTAGTTATGATAGAGTCATCTGTGTTTCCAAAGTACAAACTCCTGGACAGAGGCGGTCTTGTCCTTTATGACTTAAATTCTTGGTAGTGAGCCTAGAACCCAGCACATAGAGGTTCTCAAAAAGAAAAAAAAATCTTAAGGCTGGACGCAGTGGCTCAAGCCTGTAATCCCAGCACTTTGGGAGGCCGAGGCGGGTGGATCACGAGATCGAGACCATCCTGGTCAACACGGTGAAACCCCGTCTCTACTAAAAATACAAAAAATCAGCTGGGCATGGTGGCGCGTGCCTGTAATCCCAGCGACTCAGGAGGCTGAGGCAGGAGAATTGCCTGAACCCAGGAGGCGGATGTTGCGGTGAGCCGAGATCGCGCCGTTGCACTCCAGCCTGGGTAACAAGAGCAAAACTCCGTCCCAAAAAAAAAAAAAAAAAATCTTAAATGAACAAACAGGTAACTGCATGAATGAAGGTAGACAAGCAAAAGGAACACTAGCACATTGAGGAAGCAGTAAGGAGACTAGCCTAATAGCAGAATGTAGAAAGAAGGGTAGATTACACCTCTCAAGCAGGCTTCAGTCCGCACTGATGACCAACCTAGAAGAGGAACTCAGAGCCTTGAAGACATGCAAAATTGCAAGGAGCAAGTTCAATTTCCTTTCCAAGATGCTGAACGTTAAATTAACCTTTCGAATCCCTGAAAAGCAGCCTCAACACAATCTGCACACTTTTTTGTGCTCTGCAGCTGACAGGGGTTGGGGAGTGGCAAATATTGGCCTTTGGAGCATTAAAGAGGAAGCTATTAAAGCTGCATATTTTTTCGAAAAGAAGGAGTACAAAGGAGAATTACAAGAAACCCCCTAAATTACAAGTGTGGGTTACAGTAATTGCTAAATTACAGAGCTCCAACTTTATTAGATACACACCCCCTCAGATTCTACAGTTTTTAAGGGCTGCCTTGAGCTGACAAAAGCTAGAAAGCTCTGTGGGAAGTGTGGCAGGGAGCTGAGCAGGTTAGCTAACGGCAGCCCCCATTATGGCCGAGGCCAGGACACAGAGATCTAGGCCAGGAGCAATGAAGCTTCTGTTTTCTGGTGTTACATTACCCTGGGGGACAACACAGCCTGTGCTGGGTTTTGGAAGTAGGACTGGGGTGTTCGCATGCTTTGATTACGTGGAGGCAGCAGTGGCCTATGGCCAATTGATTTGGAGTCCTGAGAAGTTTTTCAGGGTCTTTGAAGTGGTTGGGTTCAGGCAGAGAATGCCCTTCAATAACAGGCTAGCATCTGTTATTCTTATCATCCCCAGCTACAATATCTAAAGCTTCAAGAATAAGATCTCTCATCCTCTGAGAGTCACCACCCATCTCTGCATTGTAACAACAACCTATTTAATAACACTCACCTTATATGCCGTGTTTACATCCTCAAAGCCCTCTGACCTTTTTAATGTGGGCACACATTACGTTTTTCATACTATCTTCTTCTCTCTCAAACACTTAAAGGCAAGACTTTATCCTACTTTCAAAACATTTGAAGCGAGTGGTGAAGTGACTTAAACTGAAGCTTCATTAAAGCCCAGATTCAAGTCAACTGCATGTTAGGTTGACTCATTCTCTCATACTAAAGGCCCAATAGAAGAAGGGGCACATTCTTTTTCCAGGAGAAACATACTTACTATAGGCACTACTTTTTTAAAAAATATACAACATTTCAGACTACAAAAAATTATAAGATATGCAAAGAAGCAGGGCAATGTGACCAGTAATCAGGAGAAACATTGTCAATAGAAGTAGACCCACAGATGATCAAGTGTTGGAATTATTAGACAAGGACCTTAAATAAACTAAAATAAATATGTTAAAAGATCTAGTGGGAAAGGTAGACAGCATGTGTGAACAAATGGGCAATTCCAGCACGGAAATGGAAACTATAAAATAACCAAATGGAAATTCTAGAGGTGAAAAGTGTAACATTGGATACAAAGAGTTTGTTTAATGGGCTTAACAGCAGGTTGAACACAATAGAAGAAAAGATCAATAAAATCAAAAGGGTCTTAAAGGCTAGTCAATAGAAATTATCCAAACTAAAATCCAAAGAGAAAAAAAAATTAGCAAGATAAAAATTCAAAAAAGAACAGAGTGTTAAAGAACTGTAGGAAAATATCAACATGCATGAAATTGGAGCCCCAGAAAGTGAAGAAAAGGAGCATGAGGCAGAATAGATATTTGAGTAGTTGTTGAGAATTTTCCAAACTCTAAAGAACTCAGCCAATAGATCCAAGAACTCAGTGAATGCGCACTGTATGAGTCCATTTTCACACTGCTGTAAAGAATTATCTGAGATTGTGTAATTTATAAAGAATTTAATTATTTATAAAGAATATAAAGGAGGTAATTGACCCTTAGCCCTGGCCCTGCCACAAGGGTACGTGCCCCTCCTCTGGGAACCTTCTCTGGCGGCCCCTGTTCACCTCTGTCATGGTGCTGGCTTCATCATGTTATGACGCTCTGTGTAGGTGTCTGTCCTCCCCACCCAACCAGCACCCCCCAGGTTTAGAGTCTTGCCTTGTTTGCCCACTCTGTTCCTCCAGGGCCCAGCATGGTGCCCAGTAGGTAAGGAAAGAAGTCCCAGTACGCAGAGCCAGCTTTGAGCACTTCTTCAGTCTGAGGCAACAGGGAGCCTGCCACCCCCACTCCTACCCCTACTGTGGGCAGTGAACTACAGTGGAAGCCACTGGACAACAGATAGACAATGTTTTACATCCTGACTCAGTCCCTCACCAGCTGTGCACCCTGGCAAAGCTCCTTGACCTCTCTGTACCTCAGTTTCACTGTGGTGGCACCTGCCCCATGGGACTATTGTGAACATTCAGGAAGAAGCAGCACAGGAAAACCTCACACCGAGGATGTTCTCAGAAAAGTGCTACATCCCAGGAGAAGGAATGCCAGCCAGGCCTGGGCAGCAAACAGCCCAGCCTCTCCTTTGCTGTCAGTTCTGCCCTCCAACTGGCTG